CACTCATCATATATGTTGGTCTAACTTTGAAATCTAGCATCTACAATTTTGCTGTTATTGCCTGTCAGTCTGTGGTCTTCTCCATCCTGGCAGACGGGGGTCCAACCGAGCAGTCTGCTCTTCCGCACCTTGTGGAAGAGTTCCCCAATGTTACTCTGAGCTGGCGGGATAGGTGCCATCGCACTCGCTCGGTCATGAAGTCCATCTGGCAGCCGCTGAATGACCGGTGTGGAGGTCTACTGGGCCAGCTGGTTACCGACGAGAAAAGCTTTGCACGCATGATGAAGTGCCCTGGGCGAGTTTCAGTATCAGCCGTAGTTTTTTCGCAAACCAATTTCCGGCGAAGCATGCATGTTCCCTTTGCCCGCAAAGCAAAACAACCATGAGCATTCCAGGAGTTCGGTCAAGTACTCTGGTCTCTTCAAAGAGGCGCAGAAGGAAGCCAGTGATTGGTCCAGAGCGGTGAAAAGCCTGAGCTTCGCAATGCAAAGATTTGACTCGTTGACGACTCCTCTGTTTCGGGTCATCACTCTGTTTCCGTCGGTACTGAGATTCCTTTGCAATATGACCAGAGCAGATGTGGGGGACAGTGAGGACCGTGTGTGGTCTCGCAGATACCTGGAGGCCTTCACCAGCAGATCCAAGCAGGGCGGTCTGAACTTGGCCAAAGCTGCCTTGGTGGGCGATGCCCTTTTGGTCTTGCAGAGGTTCCTGCGGCTGGACGACCATGCCGAGAGTGATGTGCTGCTTAAAGCCCGCGAGGCACGAAGTTGACACGACAAACTCTAGGTGTTTGTGTCGCCTGTGTGTCCATGTAGAGGGGTTTGTTGCAGGCAATGGAAACCAAGCAGACTTTGAAGCTTTTGTTCAAGGAGGACGGCATCTTCCACGCAGCCGCAGGTGACACACTCCTGCAGAAAGCAGTGGCAGGTCTCAATGCCTTGGGACCGCTGCGCTGGTACGAGGGTTCACGGGAAATCGTCGCATCCGTGGAGCACCCAGACATGAACGTGCTCAAAGATTTTTCCAGGTCTTTGTATGACCTGATGTCTGCCAGCTTCGAGGCCTTCTTCCCCAACCACGACCACGTCAATGCGTTCGCAGCTCTTGACCTGGAGGCAGGTCTCACATGGCCCGAACGACAAAGTCTGGTTGAGGTCTTAGCCTCCCACGAAAAAGTTTGCAAAACGCAGCTGTGGCCACTTGTTGTGTCGAGCAAAGCTTTGGTCCACACATTGTCGTTTCAATATAACTCCACTTTCAAGTCGTTGCTAGCCGCTGTTAGTCCGAGACATACAACTCAGGCTGCAGCTGGCTGGGTCTGACAGCGACAACGGGCCCAAGCTCGGCCTGTTTGCAAGAGCTTTCTATTACTTCGAAAACCCTGCCAAGATGGATGGACAAGGTGCCCTCACAAAGCGGCGACCCGAACGCTCTGTTGCGGAGGTTGGCCGATCCCGCGCTGCTTGGCTCAAAGTCTTGGCCGAGCTGAAGCCAGAGCAAAGAGCCAGAAGGTCTCTGGCGGTCTCTCTTCTGGAAAAGTCTTTGGCCTTGCAGAGCGGGACACAGTCGGTCGAGAGATTCCTTGGGGAGGCTGCTCTGGCCGAGAACCAATACCGTGCTCAACATTTAACGGATTGGAACCTGCAAGCTGCGATCAAGCTCAATGTCCAAAGCTTGAGAGGGTCTCGCAAGCCCAAGGCTTTCAACCCGGACGAGCTGTTCGAGGGGCCTCTTGACACCGTGCGGTTTCGAACTTCGATGTCTTTCAAGGCCTCGAAATACGGTGTTGCAGTCCAGAACTCCTACAGAGACTTCTTCGGCGAGAAAAAGCTTCCCCACCGATCCCTGGATCCTTCGAAGGCGCAACGCGAGCAGTCAGACAAGCCTGGTCTGGGGAACATAAAACGGGAGTCTGCGAAGCGAAGCCTGGAGAAGGAGATGCGGTTGCACAGCAGATCCGTTTCTGCAGCGGTGGAGAGTGCAGCACGAGAACAACCCTCCGCATCCAGGTCTTCCAGCTCGTGGGAGCCAATGGTCCAGGAGATGGCTGAGGTGGCTGCAGCACGTGAAAAGCGGTCTCTCCGGAGTGACGATGCCGTGCCGTCTCAGGCAAAGCGGCAAAAAGTCCAGGAGGATGACGCTGATACCTTCGAAACTGCCCTTCGTCGCAGCCGCTTTCTGACGGAGAAGAAGAAAGCAGTGGTGAGTGAGACTCCCGCTGGCAGCCTGGTACCATATGTAGATTCCAAAGGAGGAGTTTACCAGAAAAAGCTGCCTGTGCCAGCTCCTACGGCTCCTACGGCGCCGGTCTTGCCCCAGATGATCAAGGTCTCTGCTGCTCCTGCTGCTAGCAACGCTGTGCCAATCTGGCGGCGCTATTGCCTCGCAACTTCGGTGTCGGAGGCTGATGTGGTTTTGCTGCCAAATGCTGGTCAGGACCTTTACTCACCGACGGCCTTGGAAGCCCGCTTGTGGGGCAAGCGAGTGGTGGACCGGCAATGGCTGAAAAGCAAGATGACTGAGGGTCTTTGCATCTCTTTTGAAGCGGCTTTGGAGAGGCATTTGTACTTTCATCTGCATGAGACGTTTCGCCATGACTACCCGGAGCACACTGAGGCATTAGTGAGCTCTGTCAAGGCCTTTAAGCGGAAGGGTCGCAAAAAATGCCTGGTGGTGGAGCCCGGAGACATGCCAACCGAGCCTAAACACCCACGGCTGACCTATCAGCTGGTCTCCCTGAAAGAGCAAGACCGGATAGCTGCTGAGTCTACAGATGGCAAGGTCTCGCAGACTTTGAATCTGGAGCAATGCATCAACCTGTTGACGGTTGTGCAGAAAGTGTAGCAGGCACTTTCACTGGTCTTGGTTTGGATAGTGGGGTCTGACATTGCACGTCTAACTATCTACCAAGCATTTAATCATGGCTCCAAAGACCAGTGCGTGCTTGAGATATGTATCTTTCATGTCACGCCTTGCGCAACAAAAAAGATGCACAGCAGAAGTCCCCATGTGTCGCATTGCCCACATGCTACTAGGGAACATGAGCGCTGTTCTGACCTGGCAGGCTGGCGGTGCTGGTCCGCGACTGGCTTGTCAGAAGATGGAAAAAGAGAGTTATGCAGAGTGAAGCTTTATATGTTGTAACCCGAGGTCAAAAACTAAAGTTTTTGCTAGGGGCCCAAGAACCTCCAAGATTCTAGTACGCTTATCGATCCCTTACAGTAACCCTTATAGACCCCTTTATAAGGACCCCCCAAATAGGGTACCCCCTAATGTTCGGAAACTCCCATATTTGGGGTTCCTTGAAGGCTTCAAGAGCGTACCTTCCTTGGGGCACGAAAGGCGAAGCTCTTGGTTACTTAAACCTCAAACATCTGAGCGTAACCTGCTAAAGGGAACTCCAGAAAGTTGGAATATGGTTTCATGGTAGGATACCTTGTAATTTACCATAGAAGGGTTAGGATAATCATATTCCAACTTTCTGGCTTTTACTATAACCAAAGGTAAGTATTAGGGTCCCCTGTTTTCGGAAACCCCCATGTAGAAATTTCAGACCCCAGGGTCAGTAATATTTGCCAAAAGGGTCCAAAGGACCCAATAATTAGGGTTCCTTTAAAGGGGTCTATAAGGTTCCTTTAAAAGGGTTACTATAAGGGTTCTATCATACGGGCCTAAATAATTAGGTACTCGGTTTACGGATAGTAGTTATGTAGGTTACTATTTTGGAGAGTAAATGATAATAAGGGGCCTGGACGCCTTAAGGGGAACTCCAGAAAGTTGGAATATCATTATCGTAACCCTTTAAGGTAAATTATAGGGGATCCTACCATTAATCCATATTCCAACTTTCCGAGTTCCCTGTAGTGTAATGTTGTCCCGGGGGGCCTCTTGCTTCCTCTAGGACCCAGAGTAAGCCCTTATTCCCTTTTTGGGGGTTCAGGTTCCCTTATGAACCCCCTTTGAACCAAAAAGGGCACCCTTTTTATTACCAGGTTACTCTTGGGTCTAGTCCTTCTCTATTCCCAAAGCCTATCCGGGGTTATGGAAAGATTGGTTTGCAGCACGTCTCTCTTTCTCTCTGTCAATGTTGGCTCCATGTCTTTCTCTCCTGTTCGATCAAGAATAAAACGGACGAGAGCGCCAGGAAGGGACCCAGAAGAGCTACGGGTGAGACTTGGTGCTCTCTCTCTCTCTCTCTCTCTCTCTCTCTCTCTCTCTCTGTTCAGAAATGTTAAATGCATGGGAAGGTGGACTGGACACACGGCCGTGTCCTTCACAGCCGATCTCTTCCCTGCTTAACATGGCTTCACTTTAGCGGTTGCCATCACTGCCCCGTTCAATACTAGACCCCAGAACCTAAAGTAAAAGCCAGAAAGTTGGAATATGATTATCCTAAGCCCTTTATGGTAAATTATAAGGTATCCTACCCTGAAACCATATTCCAACTTTCTGGGGTTCCCTTTAAGCCCTAAAGCTCCTAGACTTTAAGCCCGAAACCCTAAACCCCGCAGATCAAGGCCGAGAATCTCTGTGCTGGGTGTGCAGAGAAAGGCGTTCAACAAAAACAAAAGCAAAGAAACCAAGCCCCTTCTCATCCTCTCCAGAATGGATGCTCGCTGCGCTCCCTCTTTTTTTTTTTCTCTCTCTCTCTCTCTCTCTCTCTCTCTCTCTCTCTCTCTCTCTCTCTCTCCTGCTCTTTGCCTCTCCTATTGGTTGAGGGTTCAGGGTTGAGGGTCTCTGCTGTTGGCTTGCCTCTGACTTCCGGTTCGTCTCCTTGTTTCGTATCAGAAAGATCTGGACGTTGAGACATCGAGAAATCAATAGACATAGCCTCTCGCGAGCGAGGATCAGGAAACAAGGACAGCAGGGAGGCGAAGGGAGGGAGAGCACGGAACTCCTTCCCTCTTTCTGGTTTGCTACTTTGTTGAATTTCTTAGTACTGCGGGAAGGCTACGGCGCCTGCTCTGACAGCAACATTAGTGTGCTGTGTTTCTGAGGCCTTGGACATAGCATTTCGCGGTGTGCTCAGCTTGTGTCGTGGGGCGATGGGGAACCATAGACTCCAAAACCCCTTAATTAGGGAATATACCTTAAATCATAGTAGGGATCCTACGGTATATTCTTTAATGAAGGGTTTTGGAGTATGAAAAGCCAGGATCTGAGTTTGATTTAGAGATGAGAAACTGAGCATATGTGCACAACCTTGCAGCAGTCCACCAATGCAGGGATAAGGTTGATGATATCAATCCTGCATTACCCATAATGAGGAATATACCATAATTCCCATAGTTAAGGGTCCTTAAGGTGATGCAGGATTTGTATCATCAGCCGCAAGGAGGGTCTGCTGCGTTTCCTTGCCAGGCTTCCGTAGTCTAGCATCATTTAGGGTTTAGGGTTTAGGGTTTAGGGTTTAGGGTTTAGAATGACGGTACTTGGAGGATCATGGGACTTAGTAAGTAAGGAAATAAGTTCCCTAGTTACTAAGTCCCATGGTCCTCCAAGTAATGATGATAGTAGTAATAACAGTCAATACAATAACAATCATGATGGTATTAAGAATGACAACAATAACAACAAGAGTACTAGTACTAATACTGACCCTAATATTAATACTAGTACTAACACGAATACCAACACGAACACTAAGGCGAATACTAAAGCTACAACCAGCATGTGGAGATGTAGGGAATAGCATCCCTCCCTTACTATGGCAAGCCAATACTTATACCAAGTCCCATGGTCCTCCAAGTATGACGAAGCTCTGACATCCAAGGATATCAGTACGTCGTCCGGCAAACCCTAAACCCTAAACCCTCAACTGACATCCAAGGATATCAGTACGTCTTCCGGCACTATGCCACATGGTTGCAGAAGTCACGCTCCTGCGCGCAGGTCGTCGAGGCCTGCTCCTGCCTATTGGTATAGGGTTTAGGGTTTAGGGTTATCCTTCAAGACCAGGACCCTCCTTGTACCCTCAAATAGGGGTATATGGTCCCAAATAAGGGGCATTTAGGGTCTAATAGAGGGTAGATGGAGGGTCTAGGAAGATGAAGGTTTAAACATTTTTGAAAATCCATGCTAGCCCTACGGTTTAGGGTTTATTGGGTTTAGGGTATCAGAAAAAGTCCTTAAACCCTAAACCCTAAACAGTAGACATATCCGCACGTCGTCATGGCACCATACCGACAGTTCTGATCTCTGCGATCCAGATGGTGGGTCTCCCGCCCTTTAGGGGATGCCCTCCCCCCCGTTTAGGGTTTAAGGATTGCGTCTACTCGTGTTTCCACAGGTGTGCAAGGGCGGTGCTCATGCGATACATTTGGCAGCAAGTCTTCCCAATGCATGCGATGATGGGAAGCCGTCAAGGCCATTGAAGAACTTCCCTTGACAGCTTTGCCTGCGGCAAGGAAGCTCGATCGGCCACATTCACCCCATTTGATCTGGACGCATCCGGACCTCTGGATCCCTTTGATCGATAGTTTCCAGATGAGGATCACACTCTGGATTGCAGCTGTGCTTCTGCTGGCGATTTTGATGACGGCGCTGATGATGTTGAGTAACTGCTTGTGTGTCAGACCATTTCACGGTGCACATCCCATGACAACGCAACGACTCTGCCTCGTCTCCGACCGTCACGCCTCCGGCATCGTGTTCGGCAAGAAGCTTAGCTTTGGTTAGTAGGGAATGGAGGAATGGGATATAATTATAACTACTATTACTACCATTCTTCCATTCCCTACTAACCAAAGGTATGTTATAGGATTGGTAAGGCCCCTATATTATAGTACCCTTATAGATGCCTTATAGTAACCCTTATAGACCCCTTTATAAGGCCCCTACGGTAAGGAAGGCCTAACTCCATGCGCCAACCCCAAAGCCCCTCATCCGAACAACAGGCCGCGATGAGCCCGACGCGCAGCTTCATGGAGGTGTACTATGACGTCACAAAGCTCGCAGGCAGAGCCAAGAGCATTGCGTTTTGTCACTGCTCTCCCCCCTCTCTAGCTCGCTCTAGCTCTCTCTTCTCTTTCCTTCTCTCTCCTTCTCTCTCCCTCGTTCTGTCTTGTGTCTTGCTTACACCATTGCTTCCTTGCGCGCGAAGTTTGGCAAGCTGAGCTCATCGCAGGCTTCGGCTGCAGAAAGAAGTGGCGCGACAAGCAGCAGTCTGTTCTCGGAGAGCTGTGCCGGCACTAAAGCTGTTTTCTTACCTTGGTTAGTAGGGAATGGAAGAATGGGGTACAATTATAACTACTCTTAATACCATTCTTCCATTCCCTACTAACCAACGGTAAGTTTTGGGCAGGGAAGGGTGTTTGAGTAGAGTATGGCAGGGGGAAAACTTGGTGTTTGCCTCAGCAAGTCGGGCATCAGCTTTTCAGTAGCCAGTCTGCCGAGGGTATAAGGCGCCACATGGTTCTGTGTTACCACCGAGTGCAAATGTTTCTCAGAACTCAGCTTTGTATTGGTGTGCTAGAATGCCAACGTCTATAGTGTTCTTGTGGTTGACCACTCCCGGTGCTTGGCTTGACCTGTTGGCCGCCTCTGAGGCCCTGAGGCCCGGGTTTGATGCCCTGCCCTTCCTATTGCGCAATGATCACAACGAGTCGCACACAGCCCAACATCTTCCAGGAGGTGTGCGCAGGCTCACGCCGGGCGTCATAGCCTCTGAAAGACCCCTCACTCTGTGCATCCAGGCAGGCTTGCACACAACAGTATGGTGGGAAACACCGGCCCGACCGGCATTCACTCACACCCTAAACCCGAACCCCTAAACCCCTAAACAGGGAGAGTGCTGAACAAACTGCAGTACAGCGCACGCTCAGTCTGACTGAGTCTTCTTGCGGAGATACGGGGCTATGGCATTAAAAGAAGTCCCTACCCCTAAGGGTCCAAGTGCCCAAATAGTAGGGTTTCAAGGTCCAAAAACCATTCAGAGTATGGATTTTGGGACCTGAAACCCTACTTTTTGGGTACCTGGACCCTCTGGGTACTTGGAGGGTCGGGGGACTTAGTAACTGGTTATTTTAGGGACTTATAAGTACCATAACCCCAATTAGGATCCCTTTTAGGGTACTTATAAGTCTACTTACTACCTGCTTACTAAGTCCCTAAACCCTAAACCCTAAACTCTATAGTACCCTTATAGAGCCCTTTAAAGGAACCCTTACAACCCCCTTTAAAAACGAGCCCCCTACTTACTAAGTCCCCCGACCCTCCAAGTATAGATCCCCTTATTGAACCCTTTTCGGGCACCCTGAACCCCCATATAGATCCTTTAAAGGAGCCCTAAGCCCTACTTTTTGGGTACCCCGACCCTCCAAGTATGGCTTTAGAACTCCAAGATCTCCAATCCGCAGCAGAGCATTTCGGTGGAAGGTCTCAGACCGAGGATCTTGGACCCCCGAGTTTTGAGGCGTTCATGGGGTGTTGGCGGGCTCAAGAGAGCTTTATAGGGCTTCTGTATGTTGTTTTTAGGATTTTATGGGGTTTCGTATAGTGTCCTCAAGAGTTGGAATGTGATTTTGGGGGCCATCCTCAACCCAAAACCTAGGATGTGGACCTGCCTTGCTTGCTCGTCAACTCGCTCTTTGGATGCATTGGGGCAGCGTAGGATCCTATGTTTTTGCGGGCAGAAGTCTCGGAGAAGTTTTTTCTCTTCCTGTCTTGGTCCGATTCGTGTCTGGCGACGAGCTTGCCGACGTTTATGGGGTTTTCCGTGGGACTATCTTTATAGTAAGGAGAGATACCATTCACTTGTAGTCCTTCTTAAATTCTAACAGGATACACCACCAAACCCTATTCGAATTATCAGCTACCTATACTATACTAGTTTGGGTATAATAGCATTAGACTTATGTGGCACGGACCTTTAGGTATAATGTGTGGGTTTGTTGTTGGGTCAACCTTAGTTCTTTCCCACTCCGGAGGCTGTTTTGCGGGCACCGTCCATCAGACAGCCGTGAGTTTAACTAGCGGTTGAATCAACGATCGATCGCAGCACAGTGCGATGCTATGTTGGGTTTTCACGCTGTGACAGATCCAGGCCACAAATGCTGTGGGCAATGGTAAGACTGCTGATGACTTAAGATGTGCATCTCGTTTCCGGCATGCCAGCACGGACTGCACATGACTGTCTAACGGCGAAGCGGACCTCCGATGATACAGTTCTCAAGGCCGGTAAGGCAAGGAAGAGGTTTTGACACATTATTACAGACTGTGCCTAGACCTTGACAGCGACTCGTCGAGTAGCACATGACAACACAAGCGGTCACAACATGCATATATCTCTGATGATAGCGTGTGCAGGAGGGTTTGGTATCGATGATACTGTATGGTGATGCTCACCTCACCGGGCGTGTTGTTGTAGTTGTGGTTCGCGTTGCTGAGCTGATAGGCAACCACTTCCACTTCGCGTCTCACTCCCTGCAGGCAAACTCGGTTCGATTGTTTTCTCGCCAAGAGATACACGGCGAGTTGTCTGTGCAAGGGGAATGGCTCGAATCCTTCGCTAGGTCGGTACAGGCTTACTAGCTTTGGCTAGTTTGGCATATTATTGAGCCAAAGTTGCGTTGGCATTACAGCATGGTCCGGGATCGGTCCCATGTGTAAGCACAAGAAAAGGTTCTGAGACAAGGTCGCAAAACGGAGCCTTGCTCTATATGTACATGGTGGTCCATGACATTCTGCTTCATAACTCAGATTGCGATACCTGCGAATTGAACTAGGCTTCGACGTCCGTTCGCAGCGTGATGGCGCAACTTTTTCATCTGCGTTCATATCGGCAGCGTGTTCTGCGATTCGGACTTCATTCGGAAGCATAATCGGGGGTCTGACATTTCTTACAGCCTACAGCAATGTCTCTTTTGGAGATCGGGAGGACCGACTGTTTCCCGGCCGGTGCTCGCAGACCGAACCTAGAGGAAATCTGAGATAACTTGGGGCTGGGTCCAAGAACCATGACCACAAGCCAAAACCATCTTCAACCGAGAACCCCCTCTGCAGGGCACAGGCTCTTGGTCATGATGAGGCCATGCCCATACAAGCGCCCGGCTTATCTCACATCCGTCAGCGAGAATTCGAATAGTCATTCTCGAAGGTGTGGATGCCGCTTCATAGCCTTAGTTACACATCAACATCAATGCCGAAAGCTCGCGCAGTGTGGACACCGTTTTCATGGTCCGTGGTCTTTGCCCTACTGGCACGCCGATCACAAGCCATCTGAAAAACCACACAGGGATTGGGACGGCTTCCGCCTGGTCCACCTGCTTCCATGGCAGTGGTGATATTCGAGCTTCTCGCAGGCCTGTCTAACGAATCTTTGTTGTTGTCACATCCAGCACAGATGCTCGTCGCTGCACCGATCTTACCAGTCTTACCCGGTATAGAAGAACTGAGCTTCCCGCTGCATTCCCTCTCACGATGCCGAGTGGGAAGCCGCAGGTGGTCGAGATTCGGCCTGCTCGTTCTGAAACACCCCAGCTGCCGCGACAAGCTACAAGCTGATTGCAGCTAGATATATTCATGATGCAACGGGTGCTAATGCATCCAGAGCCTGCAGGCTCGGACACAGACCTCCTACGATCCCACATCAGGCAGCACATGTCCAGATCACCAGTCTCTTGGCAAAGCCCTTCTCCGGAGCCGTGAACACACGCGGACTTTAGTAGGACGGCCGCTGCCTGCTTCTGTCACAACCCCCCCTGCACTCCACGAAGCACGAAGCAACAGTACCCTTGCATGCATCACTCTGCCTTTTGCTCGCGTCAGCACTGCCAGCTTCAGCCTCAATCAATCTTCGACGACTAGTAGGTGGACGAACGCACGCCTCCTCTCCGAAGCGAATCCTTCCGCTCAAGAGTGTGAGGAGTGCGCCGTCTCTTCTTCACGACAGAAGAGTCTATGGCAGCAGGACGCTTCATTCTCACAGCCGCATCCTTCACCGCCTGTTTTTCTTGCTGTCGCTTTGCAGAAAGTGGCAGGCTCGCCTTGGACACCGCACCTTGGTCGCGCAGCTCCTTGCACCACCTCTGCCATCCCTTCCCCGACCACAGGTTGCGACGACTGGCTCGTGCCAACACGACAGAATGCGGCAGTTGCTTGGAGGTGTGCTGGTATAAAGCTGAGTTGTGCGACATGAGCTTGCCAAGCTTCAGAACGCGAAGTTTGAGCTGCAGAGTTGACTGGTGCATCTGCTGAGTCTCACGAAACCAGCAATTGATCTCGCGATGTAGCGACTCGTTACTGGTGGTGCCAACGGGGAGTAGACTGAGCCGGTGTCTCGGCATGCTGTGACGAAGTCGAATGTTGTTCATGTACCATTCACTTCGCTCTGCAGCAGCTGCTGTGTGAAGCAGCTGGTAGATTCGCCTGTTTGGACCAGGAGCGAGGCGGCTCACCTCATCCCGGAAGACTGAAACCAAGGCGGCTAAAGACCGAATCCACTCGACGCGCGTATAGAACGGTCGGCTTGGGTCCAGCTGCGCCAGGATTTGTTCCGCTGTCGTCACCCGCATCGTCCGATCTTCGATTTTCTGACGCAGCGAATTTTCCTCGACTGTAAGCCCTTTGCAACTGCGCCCGTGGAAGACGTGCCCCCAACTTGCAGCATCGTACGCGTGATCAACAGCAGAAAACTTGGACAGAATGCAGCGCAATGTTTTCGTGGCCTTGGTACGTTTCCGAGAACTTGCGTACTCACATGTCATGGCCAGATGCACCGGGTCCAAAGCCATAACCTGCAGGTTCGGGCAAATGTTTTTCAAGCTAAGCAAGTAGTGCCGGCTCGGATTGTCCACGGTGACGAATTCGACCTGAGCGAGTCCTTCAGCTGTAATGCTTTCTACCAGAGCTTGTGCTGCTCCACATGCATCATCACTGGCCACTGCGAACATGCCGACCACGGCATTTGTTCGCCCGCGTACGGTGAACACCTTGACGAGACTACAGTACTAGGGTACATATGCTGAAACGAATTAGAATCACATGGGCTGTTCCGAGAGGGTTTTGCTTGTCTGCTGGTCTTGAAGCTACACTGCTGCATCTATACTCAGACCAAATCTATATCCGCCACGACACCCTTCGCAGCATGCTGGCTTCGTCGAAGGCCGCTTGAGTCGCATCCATAGAACGTGGGCGTGGCTGTCCTAGGATGGGAAGACAGCACCTAAGCGTGGCATCGATGCTCAGCGTCTGGTACTCGTTGTGCTGTACGAGCTCATGGATGAGTTCTCGTTCCATTGCCGCAACGGCCGGAGAAGTGAGAATGTCCTCCATCAGCGGCAGCCAATCCTTGGTGTGCGACGGGAGCAAACAGGTGGACTCGTGCTCCATCATAGAATGTAGAGCTGCGATCACGCCGTGCACCTACCACAAGGCAGAAGCACAAGACCCACTTACAGACAAGTATTGTTCTCTCAAGCGCAGTTGACAATTCTAGTTGCAATTCTAATCGACATTAGCCACTCTAGCCGTTTTGCGAGAACAATGTTTACCTTTCCCTGCACCTTGGCATTGCAAAGCAACGTCTGCTGGAAAATCAACTGCCCGAAACCCTTGGTGTAGTACAGGTTTCGAACTCGCCGAACAAATGCTTCGCCTTGCACAGTGGAGACATTCCAGAACTCTGGCCCCGATTCTGTCATAACCAAGCGGATGAAGCGGTCAATACAGTTGATGGCACCGGGGAGAGGCGGTACGATGGTTTGTCGCATGATGGATGCAGATCGGGACAGCAGGTCGCATTTCTCTGCTCTTTTCAAGAGGCGGTCACCGTCGTGCAGGGCAATCACAAGCTTCATTTGCTTTGTGCCGCTAGGGCAGTACTGTTTCGACGCACAATGGTACTTCTGAATGTGATGCAAAACTCTACCCTTGTTATTTTTGTCGAAAGCTCGGAAAGGACATAGCGGACACACCAGCCGATTGTCTGGGTTCCTGTGAACCTTTTTCTTGGAGAGCAAGTCATCAACTTCCTTTTCCATCAATGCCAAGATGTGATCGCCGACTTTGGTGGTCGCCTCATCGGCCCCATCGCCTTCGTCGTCTGCTTCCTCTAACGATGTGTCTCCTGAACCTGCCTGCAGCTCCTTCAACACAGCCCACTCGGAAGGCAAAGGACCCGTTGAATCTGCCTGCTCATTGGCTACGCGGCCTTGTTCCAAGACGTCAAATATCACTAAGTACTTGTTATCAGCCGCATCGTGCCATGCGTCCTGAAAGTCTTCGGTTCTCAAAGTCCAGCAAGAAGACCCGTCTACAACCTTAACCTCGGTGTCGTCAGAAACCATGACCGCGACGCAGTGAGGCTGTCCCCGCACGTAACAGTGCAACAGGAATTGATCCTTGGCTTTCATCTGCCTGAGATCCAGTCGAGGATGAAATTCTCTTCCAGATGCAGACTCCACATGCAAATATGTTCGGTGCCCTCTACGCCTGTAATACAAACCGTACTCTGACGTTGAGTCATCGTGAATGCGGATGGCATCATCTGTAAAACCCAAATGGAACAGACCACGTAAGATACAGTTGCCAGGCTCTAGAAGTTGTTCAGCACAGTGCAAAGGAGATGAGGAGGCCTTTTGAGC